TTATTGAATTTGCATTGACTGTGGCTCGCAATATTGAATATGATGAATCCGTTCGCATAATAGCTTTACAATTTTTAATATGGGTTGCTACATAGTAAGCATTTGTGTTTTCAAGAGAGTAATTTATAAATAATTTAGTAATTTTCATTTTAATTAGTAAAAAAGCGAAAATTCAAAGACTTAAGCTTATTGGTCCTATTATTCAAGAATTAATGCCAATTGGTACTGAAGATGACCCTGATGATATAGATGAAGAGTCCCCATCTAGAGTAAATATTAAATTATTTTAAAACTACTATAATTAGGTTGTTCATTTATCATTACATTTTATTTTATAATTTCATTTAATAGATGACTTTTAGAGTGATAAATTCTTTGGCGACTAAATTGCCACCTCAACAAGTTTTTCCAGTTGTTATGGAACATATTACCGCATACATTCAAAATTCTAACCCAAAATTCAGGAAAGCTGGAATGATGGCTTTCGCAGTATGTTTTCTAATATCGTTTGAGATATTAAATTTAAATATCTCTTCCTGTTTTAATCAAAAAAAAAAAAAATTTTTTTTCTCAAAGGTTCTTATTGAAGGATGTTCTGATTATATGCGCCCAAAATTCAATGACCTATTACCCATTGTTTGTAATGGCTTACGTGACCCTGAAGTTATTGTCCGTAGAGGTGCTTGCTTAGCGTTAAGCTGTTTGGCAGGTTTGTATAAATGGTATCATTTCTTGTTAATAAATTTATAATATTGAATTGGTCATTGAAATTTTGAATATTATAAATTTAGAGGAATTGGATCAAGAAATTGCTACAAATCATACCATTTTATTACCATTGCTCTTTGAACTTACAAATGATACAAGCACAGAAATTATAAAACAAGCTTGTAATGCACTTGATCTTATTTTAGAAGGATTAGGTGATGTAATTCTCCAATATTTACCCGCATTGATGGAGAGGCTCTTAATTTTATTGGACAATGGTGCCAATGAAATAAAGGATACTGTCATTGCAGCCATCGGGAGTGCTGCCCATGCATCTGGCGAAGTAATTTCTCATTTGTTCCCATTGAACATTTGGCGAGAAATTTTCAGGATTAAATATTAATAGAGGGTATTCTTATAGGAATTTAAACCATATTTCCCGCGAGTGATTGGTCGACTACAGATGTTAATGACATTGAACCAAACAAATGAAGATATAGTTTTACGTGGAGTTGCTACGGACACAGTGGGTGCCATTGCTGAGGCGGTAGGAAAGGAAATGATACAGGTTCGTGAATTTCTTAAAATATGACAGATTGTTACGAATTACGCTAAATTAAATTTGTACGTTCATTTTTAGCCATATGTTAATGATATTATGCGGCTAGCTATTGAAGGCTCGCATACGGAGTCGGCACGTCTTAGAGAGTGTAGTTATTGCTTATTTGCAGTCTTATCTCGTGTGTTTAAAGAAGAATTCTCTCCATATTTAAGCACGATTATGCCACAATTAATAAAAAGTTGTCAAATGGAAGAACACAATCTACTTGGTTTAGAAGGTATTAGTGTATAAATTACGTTCAAATTCATAATAATAAAAGCTTTCAATCGACATGTTATATGACGTTATATTTATACAATATTTAATAGCAGAGGAGAATCTTTCATGTGACTTAGATATCGATGATGAGGATGACACCGAAATTGTTATTAGTTCTGCCGTGGTTGACGAAAAAGAAATAGCAGTTGAAGCAATAGGTGTAATATTTGAAAATACACGTTCACACTTTATTCCATATGTGGAATTGACTCTTCAAGAATTAATAAAACTTTCGAATCATCATTCGGAGAATGTAAGAAAAGTGGTAGTTGGATCTTTATTTAGCTTTTTGGCTACATTTTATAGTATGTCACATCCGACCAAATGGGAGCCTGGTTTACATGTGGTACATTTATGATTTTCTTTGAATATTAATGAAATTTCAGTCTGATTATTCATTCGTTTTTTTTTTTTTTTTTACGTTTAAAAGAAAGTTCCTATCCACGAAAACGTGCATAATATGGCCAAAGCTGTTTTATCAACAATATTAACCATGTGGGAAGACGAAGAAAGCAAGTAAGAAATTTATGAAATAGGGATTTTGTTTAATAATATGATGAATCATTGCTATTAACCCAGCTCATTATGATTCTAATGAGATTAATTATAATACTGATTACAAATTTCGCCAATAAACTGTAATTGTTAAGAATAATAATAATTAACCTGATTATGTACTCTTATAAAGGCTCGTAGTAATCCAAATTTGTGACGAACTTGCCGACGCTATCAAGATCTGTGGACCAGCAATAATTGCTGATTGTAAGTACTCCTAGTTATC